GCCCCACCTGCGCTCCGCCGCCGCGCTGCTCCCCGGCCCCCGGGGCACGGCCACCCATCCCGCGGGGCGGCGTCGGGGCTGAGCCGCGGGGGGCTTCGCCTTCCCCCGGGGTTTTCTCGCTTAGGGGGAGGAGGAGGAGGAAGGGGACCGAAAGCGAAGGCGCAAAGGCAGAATCGTCTCTTCCCCCCCGCGGTGCCGGCGGCGCTGAAGGCTGCGACGGGGGGCTCGTGGATTAAAAAGAGGAAAATCCCTTTATAAAGGAGGAGGGTTGAGTGGGGTGAGAGGACCGTGTCCGTCAGAGCTGGGGGGGAGGAAGGGGGGAAAGACGTCAGAGTGCTAGGGGACGTTGGGGGGAAGTAAGGATGACTCAAGGGAGAGTGATTGTCGTGTCATGGCAGGGAAACAGGGTTAGGAAGTTAAATCGGGGTGAGAAAAGAAACGGGAATGAGGGGGAAAAAGGGAAGGAACAGGATCATGCCAAAACAACCTGAAAGGGGAAGAAAAGAAAGGGCCGATCAAAAGAGACGTGCTGAAAAGAGGGCTGGAGGAAGGGGAGGGAGCAGGGGTAGGGAGAGGGAAGCTGGGCTCTGGGCTCTCGTTGCCCTCCCTGGTGCCCTTCCCGCACTACCCTTGGGCCTAACACCAAGCAAGCACCGAGCCAAGGCATGGCTGCATGGGGCTTTCACCATCTATCTCCCCAGCTCCCTTTCCAAACCTGGTTGAATGTGCAGCCACGTTTCCCAGCTGGAGGGCAGCTAGTTCGTGGGGGTCTCCCCTTTTGCCTCCCCTCTTATAGACCTCCCCTGTAGAGCTATGGTGATACCAGCTTTTGCCTCACCTCCTATAGACCTCACCTGCAGAGCTATGGTGATACTGGCTTTCCTGTGAAAGGATCTTGCTCTCTGTCTCCAAATGATGCTTGACAATGAGCCTCTTAAGTGCTGAGAGTAAGGGTACATGTGTAAAGGGGACCCACACATGCCCTTGCCCTAGTTTTTACAAAGGGAAGATCATGCTGAGCTGTAGCAGTCACTGTCAGCTCTTGAGAGGCAGGCAACATGGGCCATTGGCTCATGAAGGATGGAGAAGTAGAAATAGAAAGCCCACAGGAATACAGAACTGAGACTGGCAAAAGAACTAATCTAAAAGTGGAAAAATCTAAAAGCATCCTAGACTTAAGAGGAAAAACGTGATGTGGGAAGATGTGGAAACAGGGAGCAGGTAGGTGGCAAATCAGCAACGTTCAGCCCACTGCAAGGGGCGACCCAAGGGCTGGCACTTTCTGGCCTGTTTGCCAGCTGCCTGGTCAGCAGAGTGGCTTCAGCTGCCGGCTCATGGACTGCTGAGCATATTGTGCCAAGTAGCATGTTAGCACCAGCCATTTATTAAGTACATTATGTGCAATAAATTGTGATTGCACACTCATAAGTTGCGTGCATAACACTGCTTTCACGTCCCTGGGCTCTGTTGAAGGAGCCCACATAAAGGTGGCCAAAGAATTAAAGGTTAGAAATGTTACTATTTTTCTCAGCCAATCTCATGGATTGGTGAGTGACGCTAGTGATGCAACGTTTGCTTTGGGAGTCTGCAGTAAAAACCTCCTCCCAGTAAAAGGCAACAGAGACACATTTTAGACACAGCGGAGCATCAAGGTGGCATCGAAGCAGAAATCCTGTCATAAGTAAACAATATAAATAAGAAGTCAAGAGACCTTGGAAACAATGTTGAGTGTGTTTCAATTAGGAATACATAAACAAGGTCCAGCAATGAGAATGTGATAGAAAATACTTGGATACTAAAATGGATGTTAAATTAAATTCCCAGAAAGTTTTAATTACATTTTACTCTTTTTTTTCTCCAGCTTAATACAGAAAAAGAAGTCATGACAACACAAAGTATGAAAACACTAGGGAAAAGTGTTACCTAAAGTCTGTCTTAGGCAAATTTTTTAAAAAAAGCTAATCAATTAAAAAAAAAAATAAAATCCTTTTTCACACTGAATCCCAACTTTGGTCTTCACTGAAGACTATAACAAATTCTGGTTGTCCTGAGTGGGCCTAATTAACACCTGCTTTTCATTATGAGTCCTGCAAATTTGTTAGTTTTTATTTGTTTAGCATCTTTTGACAAATTTTATCTTCTTGGTACTCAGGAATGGTTTGCAACCTTCCACCCAATGAATCAACTGTGCTGGCCAAGTTTTACCTTACATGTGTATCTACTCCAGTAGTTACTTAACCATAAATAAGTTAGATCATACAATCTTTATTGAGGTGTTCACTTAAGCTATAGGCCCCTTGGGCTGATATGGCTTTGGGTTTTGAAGTTGCTTTTACTTGGATGCAGCTTGGAAAGGCCAAGACAATAATTTTGGTGAGGTGTGAACATTAGTTGATTTAATAATTTACTAATTGATATAATTTGATAATTTACTAATTGATATAATAATTTACTATGCTCATCCACTACTACTGTTTAAGATAGTTTTCTTGTGCTTTGTCTTGGGGAAGGGCACTGCTATGCTGAATCCCTGTGTGCACTCTGTCAGCTGCACCCCAATGGCACCCATCAGCCACAGGCACCCACAAAGCTTGATTCTCTTCATATCTGAGGGTGTGCACAAATGAGTAAATTTTATGGCCTTTGGAAAAAGATGCACTGTGGTGCCAAATATACTAACTGCAACTGCAAGGCAGATTCCTTACTAGACCTGACCACATTTCCACAGATAATTACTTCTGCTATCAAAACACTCAGAACTGAAGTCATCTTTTCCAGGAAAGAGGCAGCCCATTGACAGTTTGTGGCTTCTAAAGCAATTATTCTTTGTTTGAATATAATTTTCTTTCTTTCTTTCTTTAAAGAATATGGCTTGAAAACACGCTGTTCAAAAAAGAAATCTTAAAACTAAATTTTCATATTTAAGAAAGCTGTAAAAGAAACCTACATTTACTCACCTTGAATCATGTTCAAGTTTTTCTGCCTTTGTTGCTGGTTCATGGCTGCCGTCACCATGGGTTGTCTCTGCCCCTTGTAAAAGTTTTGTGCTGAGCAGTGACAGTAGTAGACTTGATAACCCCGTAGTGGGGCAGTGCAAAGTTGACAGGTAGGGTGGGTCAACAGAAGATCCCTTACTGCTCTTTCATTTTAGGTTAAGTTAGATGAATCGGCATGAAGCCCTAGAGAGCAATCTGATGAGTACCGGTACCTTGGTAAATAAAGTTTTGCAACAAACCCTGCATCCTCTCTCCTGCCTGCTGCAAGCTTCCAAGGGCTCATTCTGCTCTGGGCTATCCAGCTCTCAGTTTTACCTTGTTGGCTTTATGAAACAATGATGAAGGGGCCAAGTTTTACTTTAATTAGCCACAGTGCAAGCCTAGAACAATTCAAACTAAGTCACTGAATGCACTTGAGATTTACTCCACTACTGGAAACCATCCTCAAGTCCTCTTTTCTGTCTGGCCATTTTCCAGATATTAAAATGAATGTTTATTTGAGTGGCAGTCAAAACCTTTGCATATTTTTGTGGAGAGTTTCTGCAGAGGCAAGATACCTATCAAGGAGCAGAATGCTAAGGGTACGGGTCCTTATTCAAATTGTTTCAGAACACAATTTTTCATCCCAAATCAGAAGGCGTAACCTGAGCTTTTATTTTTTCTGACTAGTCCTTGCTATGCAGCTATACCTGATACTCTTTTCTCCTTAATTTTTTTACACAGCTATTGAGGATTGTTTTATGGAAACAACGGAAGTTAGCTTTTTTATACAATATCTGTTATTTTTTAAGCAAAGATGTTACAATATTGCCAAAGATTGCTGGAGCCTACATACAGTTATTTGAAGTCCCTGTTGGTAAAGATTTTTGTGTTTTAAAGCTATGTCCATCACTGAGACTTTGCTCAGAAAAAAGTCACCCTGGATACAATTCATGGAGCTGATAAAATAAAACCACTTCTTTAGGGCCAGGCAGGCTATACTGCCACACAGTGTCTTTTTCTTAATGCTTCTTGCTAGTTGGTCTTTCAGAGGAGTCTGAACAATAGGAGATGTGAGGAGCAGAAACTTACCCCAGTCAGTATCAATGTTAAGGACTGTGATTCGCAGTATTTGAGAAGCCACAGGTTTAAGTTATGATGTAAACCCTCTAAAGAATCAGTATCTAGCTGGCTAACTATACCTGTGAGGTAAAATTCTATTTTCTGATAGATTTCTGTTTAAATTTTGCATGGTGTAATTATGCATTTTGTAAGATCGGTTTATGGAATTACTTAAAAAAACACTAACTTCCTTAAGAAAAAGAAACACAACAGGGTTTTGTTGAGTGTTCCCTTAGTAAGAAAGCTTTTACTACACCTTAGTTTAAGGCCTGTAATAAAAGCTTTCCTGAGACAGATGCTACAGAAAAGCTTGTGGTAGAATTATTCTAAAAAAGGGCCTCTCGATCAGTGTGTGGGTTTTGGGAGAGCATCCATCTTAGATTCCCTCTGCAGTTTCTTTATTAACCATGGAGTCCCCAAAGAAATTATCCATCCATTTGCTCAACAGCTCAGAAAAACCACCTGGATGAGA